AGCTTCTAATTTGCTAATATGTGGCTGAACAAATTTTGTGGAAGATGCACTTAAATGTGACTTTATATTGTAAAGCTTCACACAGTCTGAGCATTGTCTCTGATGCCTTTTATTTCTGGTTCTCAAGGGAGAGAATCTCAATGGCTTAGCCCGTATCAGATATCAACTCCCCTCTGTCAGCCCTGGTTGTGGGGTCATCTGATACAAACTGACAGCCTAGCCTCTTCCTTTCATCAAAGGCAGTGGTTGGGGCTCTTCCAAAGACAGTGCCAGGTGGGCAGGCAACCCGAACATGTCTGCTACAGCATTTGACAAGGACAGATTTATATTGCTTTTGCTTCTATGAAACCACTAGAAAGAAGAGATGTTCCCAGTTGTTAAGGGCTATTTGATAAACATAGAAATTCGCTCTGGTAGCTGATTCATACCTGATAGACTTAGTTACATTTACTGAAAAATGGATGAGTTCCTAGCTTCTTATTTGTGTTATCAAAAATTGTGGTTTAAAGTATATCTTTACTGAAAATAAAAGCACCATTAGAGTAATTATATTCTGAGGAAAAATTCATTACTGTTAATGAAAACTACAGTTAAAAATAATAATTATAAACATTTGAGAAATTAATAATGATGAAGTTATGAAGTTCAAGGTTTACAAATGAAATAGGTTCTATAGGTTTGTTCTTAAGTTGAATATGTATGTAAGTTGGAACAGTTACATTTACCTATTACATAAATAGTTTCCATTCGTTAAGTATGAGTTGTATACAAGTCAGATGTGGTAACTCAGGGACTGCTCTGCTGTCCCCATGCTTATAAATTCTCTGCTTACTCTACAGAACTCTAAACAATGTTCCCTAGAATGCTAATGTTGAGTCTGTCTTTTTTCATTTTTCAAAACTTATTTGTGCTTCTGTATCATTATTAATGTGAAAAGCATGTCTTTAAAGAAAACTACGATGAAGCAGCAGCTGACAAGAAAATGTAAAATGTAAGATACCTGGTTAATCTCCGCCATCATTTTTGAGATTAGGAGACTCAGATTTCTCCTCTTTCTAATGAGAGAGAGAGAGAGAGTATTCTGAAAGATAAGCCTACAGACTTTCAGGCATGTCAATAAATAGAATTTCTCTCATTATGCAGTGATGATTGATAAAGTTTGGGGAAGGAATATTACTTTTTTTTTTGCCTTTTAAAACTTTGACTTTTCTATTTTTGTAATAACATATCTAAAAAGGAAGTTTGGGGGAAATGCCTCTATTGAACACATAAACATGCAAGTGGGGTAGTCATCAGTGATTGTTGGAAAAAGGGAAAGGGTACTGTCTACATTTATAAACTGGCCCTCACATTCACTCCTCTTCTAGCCTTTTTCCACATTGTTGCCAAAATGCAAATATAAAATATTACTTTTCTAAGGCCAGGCACAGTGGCTCATGCCTGTAATCCTAGCATTCTGGGAGGCTGAGGCAGGTAGATTACCTGAGCTCAGGAGTTCGAGACCAGCCTGAGCCAGAGGAAGACCTCGTCTCTAAAAAATAGCTGGGTGTTGTGGCAGGCACCTGTTGTCTCAGCTACTTGGGAGGCTGAGGCAAGAAGATGTCTTGAGCCCAAAAATTTGAGGTTGCTATGAGCTGTGACGCCATGGCACTCTACCAAGAGTGACAAAGTGAGTGTCTCAAAAAAAATTTTTGCTTTTCTGCTCAAAACAGCTTGTGACTATGATTGCTCTTAGGGTAAAGACCAGTCATCAATGTGGCCTGCAAGGGTGAGCCTCCGCATCCACTGTCAGACTCATCTTGTGCTTCTCCACACTCCAAATTCCACTCACACCTTCTTTCATTTCACATTATGAGCCTAAAGGTTGTTTCCCCTTCACCACTCTATTCCCACCCTTCATTCTATCTTTTTGCCTGATTAACTTTTATTAATTCTTTAAATTTTTACTCACCCATCTCTTTCTCAGTGAAAACCTTACCTGTCCTCCAAAATTAATAGTACATCTATTACAGTGCATCATAAAAGTTTTCACTGTTGTTATTTTATGTTTATTTGAAGTTATTTTATTTTCTAGAATCTATATAAAGAATCATCTTTTTTTTTTTTTTTTTTAGTTTCCCAGGTTCTCTCATTTCTTTAATTGTACTTTTTTTTTTTTTTGAGACTGAGTCTCAACTATGCCGCCTTCAGTAGAGTGCTGTAGTGTCACAGCTCACAGCAACCTCAAACTCTTGAGCTTAAGCAATTCTCTTGCCTCAGCCTCCCAAATAGCCGGGACTACAGGTGCCCACCACAATGCCTGGCTATTTTTTTGCTGTACTTGTCATTGTTGTTTTGTTGTTTCATAGGCTCGGTTTGAACCCGTCAGCCCGTTGTATTTGGCCAATGCCCTAACCACTGAACCATGGGCACTAAGCCTATAACTATACTTTTTAATTACTTTCTGGGGTATATGTATTTTTTAAGATCTCATATTTTTTAACATTTGAAGCTAATGGTTGCCTTTAATTCTTACAGTGCAAAAACAGTAAGACATCACCCCTTCAGAGATCATAAAATTAGAAATAATGAAAATGTCAGCCAAGTTTCCTTGAGAAATTAATGTGCTAATGACCACTAACAATTCTGAGTCCCATTTAGCAATCACTTGCCCAGTGTGGATATCAAGTTAGACCTGAGAACATCCACTTGCCCATAACACTTTTACTTTAAAATAATTATGGTAGTAGTGATAAAAGGCAAGACATGATGTTGTGTAACTCGTGATTACCTTGGCTTTGCTGCATCAGAATCACTTTCACAATTCATTTAATGAGGACGGGGCTTTTTCACATGTTTGGCTAGCCATTTTTCTCTTTTCCACCTCATTTTCAAGTTCGCTTGTTTGTTTTGTTTTTTCCTAAGAGGTGCCTTCCTTCATTCAGGTCAAATGCTCACATGAGCATGGATGACGTTTAATACTACCTTCTGGGATTGGTTACCTCTGTGAGTTTCTCTTGGACACTCATGTTTGCACACAAATGTTTTCCTTAACCTTTCTCAGTTTTATTCGAGGTCACATTTCAGGTAGCATCAACATTCCATTCAGTGCTGCATTCACTGCGGAAGGGGAGCTTACCCAGGGCCCTTACTCTACTATGCTCCAGAACTACAAGGGGAAGGTCATTGTCATCGTGGGGCATGTGGCAAAGCACACAGCCGAGGTAAGTGTACTCAGAATCTCATAT